GATCAGCTCAAACACAAATGGCTTTGTTCCTTAGACTTGTTTTTTTCTGCAGGCATGTAGTGCAGTCATGCTGCAAACACCACCACTGATCACTCTCAACAATCTTGCCTTAACTATGTGGCCTTTTCAAAATGAGCACATCTCTCTACTTTGTTTTTTAATTTTTTTTTAAACACACACACGCGTGTGTCAACTGTTATGGACAATTTTTTTTGTGTAGCCCTTGTGTGTGCATCTGCCAAAGCACTGAACTGAAACCCTGCAGTTCAAGTCTCCGTATTCTGATTTAACTCACCAAAAGCCTTGTGTTGTAGTCTTCAGATGACCGTGTTGTTGGACACCAGAACTGGTACTGATTTCTTGTGGTCTTCACATCAGTCGTTCTTTTGTTTGACCTCAGGGACTTCTTTCGAGAACCTACAAGGTGCAAGTGATCTTTTTTGTCGGGCTGAGAAATCAAGCCTGCTCCACAGAAAGGAATAAGAATGAGCCTCCATTCACTTGCCTTTAAATGTAGCATAGAGTTTGTTTATTTACTTATGTTAAGTGCACTTATGACACTGTGCCTTGCATTGTGCTATGCAATCGTTTATATACCTTAATGCTAATGAAAAGACCAGATTTCAGTCACTGGTTGAAAGAGCTATAACTTGAACTCAGCTGTAAACGTCTATTTAATATTTGTAATGTTTTATTTTCCCTTTAAATTTCATGTATTGGTTTCTGTATGATTAAACATGACAGCTTTCTTTGCCAAAACTAATGTTGTAAATATACACCGAGTGATTAAAGCTTTTGATCAAATGTTCAAATGTTGTTTGGAATCATTTATTAATGGAAGTACTCACAGCTTTGATTTGAAGTGTTAAAGTGCTCCAAAGTCCTGTCAGAGCACGGGTGAAGGAAGTGGTGCGAAGGAAACATGAAGTATTGGTTGACGACAGGCCGTTAAAAATTAATGTATACCCTTGTTCAGATGTTGTAGCCTATTTCAAGACCTTTTCAGGTTTTGTTTGACGGTTGTAACCAGTCTGTGGTTGTACCTGAACTCTTTCAGCGTATTGATAAACTGTAGTAGCCAAACATAACGTTATCTCATTCAACTCGAGCCATCAAAACTGTCGTTAAGAACACGACAACACTCCATGACTGGAGTCCCCGGATAATCAGTCTATAGCGATCGATAATTGGCTCATTTCGCTACTAGAAGGCGGAGCTTCCTTCCTTGGAATTACTTAAAAGGGACAGTTCAACCAAAAATTTGTGATGTGCGATACCACTAGTTTCCTACCTATCCGACCGATACCAAGTAAAATGAAGGAAAATATTGGCGATACCGATAATTTGCCCAAAATTACTGTTTGGGAAATTAAAGTAACAAGTAGGATAGTGTACTTAAAAGTGTCCCTTTATACTGAATGAGTATTACAGGCTTTTCTCGTTTACTAATGAAGAATTATCATACAAAAAAGAGCCAACTTACATATTGACAGCATCTCAGCATGTACTGTATATCTTAAAACGCCAGCCTGAACATCTTAACATAAAACAATAAACATTCACACCTTTTGGTTTAGTGACATGTTAATTCGGTCCCTTTAAAGATTTTTAACCTTTTTCCGTTGCTTTATCATTGTCACAAAAACCCAAGCCCCCAAAATACAGCCACATCACCACATTTTCTCCCTCTAGTGCCTGCCTGCTGCACTCTGAAAGCGATGTCTGTCTCGACTTAGCAGCACCTGCCTCTCCTTTCATCCTCTTTTGAACACCTAGTCATTTCGTTGTCATATTCTGTCTTGTGATTTATTTGTAGATGTTTGATTGGGTTTGTGGTATTAGCCTACAACAGTACCTCACTGTTTTGTTACAGGTGTCACAAACAGCATCGTTGAGTTTATGGAAGTGAAGTAGCTCCACACATACTTCGCTTGCGGTCAACCACATCCAATGACAGCATGACTGAACAACATCTGCCACTGTCAAGCCAGCACCCAGCGAACTGAGTGGCTAGCTAGAGTGCTCTGCAGTTGTACATTGCCATATTCCACTTGGCAGGTAGAAGAACAAGTAGTTCAGACAAAGTTGGCATTATTCAGATAGAGTAATTGGTTACTTTACCCTGTATTTCTATTTCCAATAAACAACACATTTGCTCCAAATTACTGAAATATCAATATTTTGATAAGATAATCGATTCTATACCATGCAAAGCTGGTGTCGGAGATATCGATATTTTAGCATCGATCCGCACATCACTACCAAAAATGAAAATTCTGTTATTAATTACTTACCCTCATGTCATTCCAACCCTCAAGTCTCACACAATTCTGGAGGGCTGAAGCTCTGCACAGTTTTGCTTTAACCCTAATCAAACATAGCTGATCTGAACTACTCAATGTGTTCAAGACTACTAGAGACTATTAAGCAGGTGTGAGTTGGAGTTAGTTGAAGCTAAACTATGCAGAGTTGTGGCCCTCCAGGAATTGAGTTTGAGACAATTGTTGCAAAGTAAAGATATTTTGATTAACTCAATCGTAAGCTGCTAATCTCAGTCCTGGGGTTCGCTCTTCTAACCTCGATTAAATGATCAAAGATGATTTTAACTGAAATTAACTGATCTCTGGCTAATTTGGTTCTTCAAACAAGTTCGTGAATCAGATTAAAATGACAGGATGAACTGATCTGAGATCGCTGCGTTTGTTGTGAATGACAGATGTATCAATCATCAAAATCGTAATCAGCAATGCAACGATTGGCTGACGGTACAGCAGTGTAATGACATCATCTGATTAATATTCAATTATTCATGTGAGCAAATTACAGAAAATTTGCAGTAAACGGTTTGTTGAATACTATATGCAATAACTTTCCACGCTTGTTTTGAGATGCAGGCTTTACACTCTCATGTGTCAAGAGTATTTAGTGATTTTAGTTTTACATTTTAGAGTGGATATCCTTTATTTTAGCAGCCTAGGCCTATTAAAGTTTCTTAATCTGTGAATTTAAATTAATTTTGCATCAAAAAAGCATTTTGATATTGGTAAAGGTGTCTGCAACTTCTGCAAAGCATTAAATCACCAGTATATTAGCGATCGAAAGATATGCATTTCTGCATAAATTATTATTCCTTTTTTAAAATAAACAAACAAACAAAAAAAACAGTCGAATATTGTGCACTTTTTATTATCATACACAAATTGTAAGGCTGGGTCGGTACCTTAAAATAGTATGCGTACATATCTAAAAAGTCCATATTATTAAATGTTCTCTTGGATCCCCTTGGGGAGAACCACCCCATATATGCATACAAGCATAAATATTGATTATTTAATATTACTAATTATTCTAAATTATAAATGTGCATATACATTTCTTAACCTATTTGACTATTTTCCCAAGTGTATATAACCTATAGGTTACTACTGTAAGAAGATATCGGCATTCAGTACATACTTTCAGTATAACCTTTGCTTGAACTGACCCGATCTAATCCTGTTTATATGAAATGAGCCAGCTCCTGAGCAGGTTTGAGCTACCAGAACCGTTGCAAATCACCAATAACCGAAATTCAGCTAACTGAGTAATTCACGTATAGGAAGAACAGACCCCTGATCTACATAGAATAGAGAAAGAAGGATTAATCAAATTGAAACTTCTCTAGTAGTGTCTCTTAGCTATAACTTTGTAGGTAAGGATTTTCCAGAGATTTTCAATCTTTTGGTTTAGGTCAGTACTCTGGAACATTTCATTAATTTAATGTTTTCAGCATAAGGAACAGTTTTATCAGTTTTGTTAGGGTCATACTCATTATCCTGCATGAAAATGGTTGAGTGATGAATGCAGAGGACATTGGGACAGCACAGAGATCAATGCCATGTTAAGTACTGAAATGCTGAGCAATTCTTTTTTGCATTGTTGAACTGATTGCCAATTGTGATTCTCTTTAATATCCTGCACTTTTGTACATTATCTAGTTAGTGGCATATGCAATATTATGAAACTCATATGCAATGACCAAGCTGAAAGGGTCCGTTTTGCCTTAATCTGATCAATCTGCTCTGAGGGTTTCAGTCTTTAGAGTGGCTCACAAAGGTGATAATGGTAAAGTGAGGCTACCAGATCAATCTGATTTGTAAAAGAATGAATTTCCCACCTGAAGGCAGATTAACACCAAAAACTGAAATGATCTGAAAGTGTTTTCTCATTTTTGACCACTGTTTTTGTAAATATATCTTTCAATTTTTATATTGTATTTCAAAATAAATCTCTCATTAAATATGCTTTTAAAAATGCAATTTTACTCCAGTGAAGAAACTGCATGAAGGACTAAGCAGTGACCTCAAAATGTAGTTATTTTTGGTTGTTCTCTTGATCTCTACTGTGCATTAACACTTTTAACAAACACTGCTTCAAGAATCAGAAAAATCCTCTGAAATGGTGTAAGCTGGCCAGCCCATACATTCACAAAATCCATGACACAGAAAAAAAAGTTTAATATTTCATTCATAGAAGAAAAATAATAACTTAAGGCAGTGCATTATATCTCATTTGACAGTTTTGTTTTTTCTACATTTATTTATTGAACTAATTATTAAATATACCAGGAAATCCTCAATTATTCCATGTTATTTGTAATATAATTTGTAAATCTGAATACCTGATGCCAATCTTATGGAATCTCATTACAAATCACTAGCTTGATAAGATTAAGAACAGCAACAGTCCTTTTTATTTCTCTGCTCTGTTGAAGTGAACTATTATCTCTGAGTGGTTGGTATGAGCCTAATGCCACCTACTGGAATGAAACAGCACATTATTTCTCCTGCTATCTTTGCCTTCAGGATTTCTATTTTTGTTAGTGTGTTATAAATAAAGAGGTCATATAAGGAAAGCGCTATGCATTATGGGTTGTTTAGACCAGCATGGTAAAAGTGCTTTTTTGAAACCTTTTGTTCCATATGTATATTTACAATAAAAAAAATAATGCAAGTAAGCCATTTATCACAAAAACAGGTTTATTTAATATCTCTTTCTTTTTTAAAATAATTAGATTTATTCTATTCATCAAACCCTTTCTTTTGATTTTTTGTTTTTACATATCAAACTTGGGCCATCATAAAACACACAATGAGCTTGGGAGAGTTAAAACAAGGAAGAGAGAAAGAGAGACACGTGATTAAGCCAAAATAATAAAATAAAATATAATAAAATACATCCTCCTCACATGTAAAATCCACAACCACGATTGTTGGGACTTCAAATAAAAATAAAGAAGAAAAGGGAGGGGCTGAAGTCCCACCAGAACAACTAATGAACCCTAACTCGAAGTGCTTTTTAAGTTCTAGCCTGCCTTGGCGGCTGGTATTTATTTCAGAAGAAAGATTCTAACCTCCCGGATCAGCGTTTACCTACACAGGCCCTATAAACCCCAACAGAAGCAGGATTTCATTTCAAACACTCCATGAAAGAAAAAGAAAAACCTTGTCTTGCTCAGCTCTGTTATGTAGACCACGTCCAACCTTTGTGAATTCGAAACTTAAACAGAGCAGAGTGGTGGAAATCTGGGTGGCCTGTGAGAAGCAGTCCAGAATATTCTTTACGAAAAATATATATGTATCACTTAACGATTTTAAAAACACTGGATGAGCTCTGAAAACACTGTGCGCCGCTGAATTTCCATGAGTCCTTGCTACTCTTGGTGACTACAGAATTTCCACACTGGAATTCCCAAGAGTCTCCACAGCAGACAGCATGAAACTATGACCAGATCAGTATATTTACCTGGTTCACATGTTTAAAAAAATAAAGGTCCTCGGAGAGGTTTGTCCTCTTTATTGACCCACAGTAGCTTAATGCGACCCATCCTGGATGCTTACAAGAACCAGTCCATACTGTACAGTGAAAGACTGGGCTGATCATCCTGTAAAAAAAAAAAAAAAAGGAAACAAAGCACACGACAGAGAAGATGATAGATGTTCGTTATCTCCTGTTTTCCTCATATTCACATCATGGGTTTCTGGTTTGTTTCCCCAGAGTCAGGGGAGTCTAGATGTTAAAGTCTCTCTTCATAAAGAACTGAAAAATTGGCGGCAACGACAGGATCCTCGAATATAAGACATCTTTAAATCGCAGGGTGAGCACAGACCCCAAAGTCCCAGGGCACTTCCTTGGAGAACAACATCGACATGAAGACGCTGAACCGAAAGGGTTTTTAAAATATATCCTTTGACCATAGTTGATTATCATTTTACCAGATTTTTTTACAATGAGGAGTGCACATTAAGTCTCTCTTCAAATTAGCTTTTTTTTCTTCTTTCTTTCAGAGTAGTAGTATGATACAGGAAAGAGGGAGAGGGTTATTTACAGTGCTGTTGAAAGGGAGGAAATGAACAAGGGAGTGTGCGGTAAAGTACGCAGCATGAGAAGCAAAGAGAGGGGGGTGGGTCCCTGTGGCAGAGTAGAAAGGGATTGGTTGGTGGCCACACAGAGGGGCGGAGCCGAGGTCTGTGTTAAGTGGGAATGACGCCGTCGCTGTTTTGGATGCCCCGTCTGAGCTCCAGATCCTCCAGCTTCCTCCACAGGTCCTCACGCTCCTTGTCCTTCTTCCTTTCCCTGAGGGAAGATGAAAAAAAGGTTTATTAGCTGCTTTGTGAACGGTTTAAAACACTATCATACTCTGTGCGTTACTTACCTTTGCCTGTCTGATTTGTAACTGGCTGCAAGTTCGTCAAACAAGGCGCTGTTCATCTCCATGAATGCTTTGAGCACATTGTAGATCAAAGCTGAGATCGCCCTGATGGTGGAGAAAAGCAGACAGGATTGTCTAACGTGCAACATCAGCACACAAGAAACAAAATCATTCTCGCTATTGATTAAAGAGTTACTCTGATAATTAAAGCTATCAATCGCGATTACTTCTAATAATTTGTGGAATAGGATGTGTTTTGATGTCAAACTCAAATTAAATGTATATTTGACTATTTACAAAACATCATTAAATGCTGGTAAATTGTTGGTTTCAAATAAATAATATATGGGAGAATAAAATTTCAATTGTCTTTCAGTGTAACAACAGTTTATGCAAAAAAGAAACGGCATACTTGTATTGACCTCTACTTATTATTTGATAAAAATTATAATTACATTAATTATAATTTATAGCGTACATGGTAAAAACTAGTGGCTATTAAATCACTTTTATTAGTCAAATGATTTTTGTTACAAATATGTCTGACAAGATTTTCTGTTACAAAAAGTATTGTTAGTTAATTAATTTAGTGGGTGTCTTCTGTAAAATATGGTAAAAATGCATCAAGCATTATTAATGTACACATTCAAAGCTAAAACCGCAAGATCCTTTCAGAGGTGCACCCGGATGATGGAGGCTTTGAGAGGATCTTCTGACTGAGCAGAGCCCTGTTTGATGAACTGGCACTACGTCATAATCACACCCCCACAAGAGCAAGCTCCCGATTGGTTAATGTAATGCGCGTAAATTTCGCAAATCGCTGAACTTGTGACGCTTTAAGCCTGGTTTATACTTCTGCGTCAAGTGATCGGCGTGATCCACGGCGCATGCAACGCACGCAGCTGTGCATTCATACTTCTGCGCGCTCTTTGCAATAACACTTCCAAAACGCTAGCTGGCAGTGATGTTTATGTTCTTCAGTGTTGAGTTTTTTCGCTGGTGTTTCATTTTTTCTAAACGCTTCCTGAATGTACAAGTGGCTCAGACTCCTCAGGCAGGAACCGTGGACGTGCAACTAGGGCTGTGCAATTAATCGAAAATCCAATTTTAATTTCGAGTATGGCTTCTAACGATTATGAAAAACCATTAATCGAGATAAACGATTATTGCATCATATTCCAAAAGTGCAAAAGACCGCGTGCGTATGTGTGTGTGCAACACGCATAAGCACGCGGTCAGGATTCGGTCTCATTCGCACGCTGAGACGAGCAAAGGAGCGCAGATATCTAAAGTAATCTTAACGTGAGCGTTTTAATGGTCAAATAGGTGTCAAAACGCAGTGATTAGTGATTATTCATATTAACCCTCATTTGCGTAATAAACAAATGAGTTGAGAATCAAAAGACACGTGAAAGAGAAACCATTAAAGTGACAATGATAAAACAGGCGGCAGCATTTCGCACTAATCAAACGACGAGAACATGCCTTACTGCTCTTGACTGAAGGATTTTTGTTGCTAAAGTGTTTTTCTTAGGGTGAAGATGCTTAAATCACAGTTTGTTTTATATTTTTAATCTATTGTATTAATTTCTCTTTTCTTTGCAGGGTGAAAAATAACTGTTTATATATACAGTTGAAGTCAGAATTATTAGCCCTCCAGAATATTAGCAACCCTTTTCCTCCAATTTCTGTTTTATGGAAAGAAGTTTTTTTTTAAACTTATTTCTGAACATAATAGTTTTGATATATCATGTCTAATTACTGATTTGTTTTATCTTTGCTATGATGACAGTACATAACATTTTACTAGAAGTTTTTCAAAATACAAGCATTCAGATTAAAGTGCAATTCAAAGGCTTAATTAGAGTAATTAGACAAGTCATAGTATAACAGTAGTTTCTTCTGCAGACAATCAAAAATATATTGCTTAAGGGGGCTAATAATATTGACCTTAAATTGGGTTTGAAAATATTTAAACCTGCTTTTATTCTGGCTAAAATAAAACAAATAAGACTTTCTCCAGAAGAAAAAAAAATATTAGAGGAAATACTTTTAAAATTCCTTGCTCTGTTTAACATTATTTGGCAAATAGTAATTTAAAAAAACAAAATTCTCAGGAGTGCTAATAATTTTGACTTCAACTGATAATCGTTTTGAATAATCGTGATTACAATTATGACCAAAATAATCGTGATTATGATTTTCTACAAAATCGAGCAGCCCTACGTGCAACAACTTTAACTATGAGGTAAACACAAAGCAACAGTCTCCATCCGGAGCTCCATGTAAACAGTCGACACTTGTAAACAGTTGCTTCAACGGACTTGCGCGGCTCTCTGTCCCGCCCACACTCATCCCCGAATCCAAGCAGACCAATCACAGAGCTTGCACTACACGTCATTACGGCGTGTAGTTACATTTTTGAGAGGTGCATGTCAGCGACGCAGACAGCCACGGTGAGGGATATGCATCCACGCGTAGGCTGCGCCGTAGCATACGCGTGCGCTTGAGTATAAATCAACCTTCATTCACGCATACTGCGCCACAGGTTGTCTATTACAGTCTTTGCATTGACTTAACATGTAAATAAATTGCAATTGAACGCAGCATTAGATTTAGATTAATTCACTGATGCCAAAAAACCTTTATGTTTTTAATATTTCTAACTGATTTTTTTATATAAATTTGATTCAGCGGGAGTGCTGTAAATTGATCAAGTGACAGTGGTACATGCCTAAGGGTGTTGCTCTGTTGTTCTGTCCTTGTCTTTCCGTTTTTATTTGCCGTCTTCTGTTCTTCTAAAATCTAGGTGTTATGATTGGCTGGCAGAGTTTTCATGAGTGGACCAATCAGAAGAGGATGGGGGTCATTTAAGCACTCCAGTAACGACTCGGACCACACAGGGGGTGGGATCCTTGTCTCTTGTCATTGCTCTGTCTTTCTGTGTGCATTGGTGTACCTGTCTGTTCTATGGTTCGCCTTGGTATTTTTAAATTGAACATCTATTTAGAATGTCCAAGCTAAATCTACTTAAATCTACTAAAAGGGAAGTGAAAGCGAAGTACGTCACGTGACTTACATTTTACACACACATAGTTGAATTTTTGTTAATCCACTTGAATACCCATTGTATGTTTTTTTAGGAAATGCAGTTGTAGTGATCGGCGTGTGACCCCGAAGATGTTTTAGTTTCTATCTTCGAATTTTTCTTTGGTTATTTAGAGGTGGGCATGGTTTAGTTAGCGGGTGTTTGATTGGTTATTTCCTTTGATTTGGCACCACTTATTTTCCTTCCCTCTGTCAGGTTTGTTTCAATTGAATTGTTTGCACTTTTTGCATTTATTGTACACATTTGTGAATATACTTTGAGTGATTAAATATTATTTTTTCCTTTCTTATCTTTATTGTAAATAGAGTGGAGGAACTATGACATCAATTTGTATGCAAAAACCAGAAAGAGAGTTAGCATTTTAGCAGATCCCTCATCCCAAAGTAAATGTTTTTTTTAATAATTTTTTTTTTTTTTTAATAATTATTTTTTTAGGGGTTTTCACCTTTATTGATAGGACAGTGGAGATATAGAAAAAGAAACGTGTGGGGAGCAGAGATAGGGGAAGATTCAGCAAAGAACCTCAAGACAGGAATCAAACTCGGGTCGCTGCGAGCACCTCGGTGCTATGTGTCGACGCACTAACCACTAGGCTATTGGCGCCAACATGTTTTTTGTTTTTTTTTATGGGATTTCGGTTAAAACGCTCAAATAAGGTCCGTGTCTAACACAACTCAAGATATTATCACATTTTATTCTACAACATGAAACATAGTTAAATCACACTCTTGATTTTTAAAATCGGTTATGCTTCTTTAAAAAGATGGTTGCTACCAAGTTGCTAAATGGGACTAAAGGCGGTGTCGAAGACATTATACATCATCGAGCTGAAATGTTGATGGTTCTGTTATTTAAGTATTTTCATGAATAGTAATTTATAGTTTGTAGTATTTTTCTAATTGGGATATTCATATATTCATATTGTTGTATTGTACACAATATATTCATGTATTGTGCGTAGATAATGCCTTTACTTATAAAGACTGACAGCACAGATTCATTTGTTGATCCTTTATTTTAATTAAACGATATTATGAAGATATTGTTTACCAGTGCAGCCTATCTCTTTCTTGCAATCAGTAATGCAAATGTGTGAATAATTGTGAGAAAAATACATACATAGTAACTGTCATTTTAACGTGATCAATTGATTTTGTCTTTTTTTTCTTCATCTGAACACATTTAACTCTGTCATAACAGCAGTATTTACACCCCTCCTTAAAATGTAAAGCAGATGTGACTGTATGGGCTGCTTTTTGCTGTACTTCGCACAAAAATATATATATATATATATATATATATATATATATATTGAATGTTGTTCTGTGTCCATGACAGAACTTGCAGGCATTTGATAGACTTGTCCCTCATGCATCATTTCTGTCATCTTTTACTAAGGTAAGCGGGCTGTATGCATGCGAGCAATACAATTATTTAAATATGTCTTGTGATAATACTATATAGGCACATTTATCCATAGAGATTTAAAATGTTTACAACAAACAAAGCAAAACAGATGTATTTCCCACGTAAAAAAACTACTCAAAAGGCACGTAGCTCTATACATATGTGTTTTTGCGTATATATTTGTTTATAATATTTAGAGTGGATTATAACATTATGAACCGAGAAATTAAATGTTTTTCATGGACCAAATTTTTAAAAAATAAGCTTGAAAAGTTGTCTGTAGCAGGGTGGTGCTGACGTCACAGGCGAGCGCCCCGAAAGCTCTGAAGTCTGTTTATAGCCTAATGTTAGCTTTTCAAATCTTGCGTTTACAATTAAGATCCAAAAGTGCTAAATGTAATATTTTTGTGTGAGGATTATCCGGTTGCACAAAACGCGCAAGTTTAATGAACTGTGTTTAAACACAGAGCTTATTATTTGCAATCTACGAAAAATCTATGGAAAAATCCTATGGGGATTTTATTGAGGGAACCAGATTTATGCTAGCAGCCGATTAGCCTATAAGGTGACATCATAGTTCCTCCACTCTATAAAGCGAACAACTTTTTGCCACGTCCGTTTGCCACAACTGTATTGATCCATAGCAGCTAATGTCTCAGGGGGATTTAAAAAATATTGGGTTGTTATAACTATGTTTAGCCCTTTTTATCCTCCGAGCCACACAGGGCGTAAAAGACAGTAATAATAATACATTTTATAAAACAATGAACAATATTTTGAAATGTTACTCTTTTACTGTGGTCTCGGTAAGCCTAAGAGGTTTAATAAATGTTCAGTGTTTTTATTGCCATATGAAACTTACGGGTTCCAGTGCTCTTTGGAGATCCTGTAGAGACTGGCAAACATGATAGGCAGGATGGCGCTACAGTTCTCCTCAATCAGACTCATGATGTACTCATTGTTCCAGTAGTACAAGGCTCGCTCTGCCACCTGGAACAAGAGTCCAACCTCCATTTTAATACATCATTATAATATTTTTTATTATCAATAGACAGATCTCAAACTGCAGAACCTTGTGTATCCACTTAAATTTGGTCTATTTAAAATACATTTTTGTTAGAAACAATTTTTTCTAAAAACGTTGAATTAAACAGATTTTATATTCAGAACTTTGTAACAATAATGACAAAACATGTGACCAAACACCGAGCACTAGCAGAATGGAAGCTGGATTAATGGGAAATTGCTTTGAATATGGAAAAGTTTGAGTTTACAGCTACTACAAGTGAGCACAAGGTCTGTGAGGATGCGTTAATGTGTTTACCTGAAAATGGGGACTGGAAACACATCTAGCAATCTGTTTGAAGAGCAGCTCCTGGATCTTAACAAACTGAGTGGGTTCAATCACATCTAGAATCTCCTCCAACTCTCCAAGAAACATAACCTACACAAGTAAACAAGGTTACAGAAATGATGCATGTTAAAAAATATAATTAAATTATATATATATATATATATATATATATATATATATATATATACACACACACACACACACACACACACACACACACACACACACACACACACACACACACACACACACACACACACACACACACACACACACACACACACACACACACACATATACATATACAGTTGAAGTCAAAATTATTAGCCCCCTGAATTATTGACCCCCTTGTTTAATTTTTTCCCAATTTCTTTTTAACGGAGATAAGTTTTTTTTTAACACATTTGTAAACACAATAGTTTTAATAACTTATTTCTAATAACTAATTTATTTTATCTTTGCCATGATGACAGTAAATAATATTTAACTAAATGTTTCTCAAGACGGTTCTATACAGGTTAAAGTGACATTCAAAGGCTTAACTAGGTTAATTAGGTTAACTAGGCAGGTTAGGGTAATTAGGCAAGTTATTGTATAACGATGGTTTGTTCTGTAGACTACTAAAAAAATATAGCTTAAAGGGGCTAATAATGTTGACCTTAAAATGGTGTTGAAAAAATTAAAAAGTGCTTTTATTCTAGCCGGAATAAAACAAGAAAGACTTTTTACAGAAGAAAAAATATTATCAGACATACTGCAAAAATTTCCTTGCTCAGTTAAACATCATTTGGGAAATATTTAAAAAAGAAATAAAAATTCAAAGGGGGGCTAATAATTCTGACTTTAACTGTAAATATAAAATTAGTGGAATAATATTTTTTTATTAGATACACTACATTTTTAAAAGTTTAAAAACAATTAGTTTCAATTTAATCACAAATAATGTGCAATTGTTTTTGTTTGGGAAGCTTCAAATTAAATAAAGTTTGTCATTTGCAGAATACTAAAAGTATTATGGGACCACTTTAATAACTGAATGAGAACACTTACCTCCTTTTGACTGCATGTTTTTGGCCAAAACTTCAACAAACCTCTGATCACCTACAAAAAAGGCAACATCAACATTCAGAGACCAACTAGAGAAAACTGCAAATAAATGAGGCCTGATAAACAATGAGGAGGATAATGATGAAGGAGCACTCACAGGTTCTGTTAACGTGGGGTCTTTCTCTAGGAACTGTACAATACAATAGGCCAGCTAGAAGAAAACATGACATCAGATTAACAAATGCATTTCAGATGTTTAGATTCACAAACAAGCATGAACAGAGGAATTTGTTTTTTCTGTCTTTGCAACGCAGGTAAGCAAGCAGAGACATGCACAGATTTGTACCAAACATGTGGTGTCTGTACCTGGGCATGGAAGAGAGATAAGCTCCTCACTGTGTGCAGAGGCAGCAGCACCTTCACCAAGAACTGTTTGTGCTCAGCTTTGAGAGGAAGCGCAAAACCATTGATGATGCTGAAAAAGCAGAGACACGTGAGGCTTAACTTCTGATCTGTCACTGATAATCATGATAGAAACCCATATGCAGAAGATTCAGCCTTTTGTCAGGCCTTAGGACAGAGGCCAGGGTGGAGTAAGCGAAGCAGGAATATAACCACTAGGGTCACCCTTCCATGTCTTTTCAAAGTTAAAATTCCTACACATCTTTTACAACCATTTAGTCAATCGAGAAAAGAAGCTTCTCAAAGTGCTAGGGACACCTGGTGGTCAAATTTGTGTAAATGCAACAAAAGCTCAGGCAAAACATGCATTAGAATTGACGTTTTTTTAAACAAATTGCATACTTTAAATTGAAAGTATAACCTATAAATGCATTTAGCTTTTCACATATCAATAACATAATTGTCTGCATGTGATGTGTCCTTTTATACATTTTCAAGGCTAATATACATTGTTTATCACATTGTGGGCTCCGCTAAACAGGCCAAGAAGACTATTAAGGGCATAGTCATACTAGCTACAGTTGCCTTGAACGGTGCTGAAGGACGATCGTACCTACTCCCCTCTCACACAGCATTTTGCCGTCCGAACCAGAGCATGCTTACGTCATCGATGATGTATGGGTTTACGTCTTTAATAAACCATGACAGTTCACTGATCATTAAGGATGATTTAAAAATCCATATGAAACAGTCTGTTAAAAGTGACCGTTTTGGGCTCAGGCGCACTTTGCACTCACAGTACAAGCGTACTGCGCCAAAGTCCAACTGAACCATGCAATATTCCCTTTTATTGTACAAATGTTCCATTAAAACATCCACAAATTGGTTAATGATCAGGTAAAAACTATTAAACCTGTTTAGCTAATCACCACAAGGGGTGATGTGGGGGTCATGTGGCTTTTTTGGTATTACAGAGATCGCCCCAAGTGGAGAACTATTCAATTTCTGAAACGTTTACAAACAGTAAATAACATAAAGCCCCATTCACTGAAGTCACATGACTTTGACAATTTGATGCATGCTCTAAAACACTGATTCAAAACTAAATATTCGTAAAGGTTTCAAAGCTTCATGAAGCAGTATTTTGAAAGCAGCCGTCTTTACCTAACAGATTACAAAACAAAACCTACCTTCCCAAAATCTCCAGCAGTTCAGCTACGCCATTGAAGCGCTCTGTCTCATACACAAAACTGTTGGAGAAGAACAGAGATTTGTCACTGCACCTTAAATTTTCAGAGTATAAATGAACTGAAATAACTGAAAACCTTGTTTGTTACTTACCAAAGAAAAATGTTGTTAATTTGTTTGCGGATGAAGGCCCTGAGGCCAAGGAACTTGCCGTAGATTCTGTGCAGAACTGTCTTCAGACAGTCCCTCTCTCGTGGGTCCTCGCTATCAAACAGCTCTAAGAGCTAAAAATGAAGGTGAGGAGATGTTAAAACTAAAACAAAATCTAATTTATTCTTCCACATTTGGTTTTAAACCTTTGGGAGTTTGGTCTTCTGTTAAACACAAAAGAATATATTTTGAAGAATGCTGGTTGCTTGGACCATTGACTTCCATAGTAGAAAAACATTTCTCAGAAGTCAGTGTGTACTAGCCATTAGCATTTTTCAAAATAACTTCTTATATTAAAAAATGATGACTTCAAAATAAATTAATTTGCATTCAACAGTAGAAACCTAAATAAGTTTTGAACATATGAAAGCCATGTAAAAAAAAAATTTAATTTGTTTGTGAATTATCCCTTCAAGCTGTCCTTTTATTGCTCTAACAAATTCTATTTAGTGATAGTGAAACTATTTGTAATTTAACATTAAAATTATCATCTTATATACAATATTTTGTGCAAATTTTGTTTTAGCAAGGGCTAAATTAACCTAGATTATACTGCAAATTTAACAGCCGAACACCTTAACAGTTTATTATACATTGCTCTGTAAAGAATATTCATGTACTAGCTTTAGTATTACACAGCTATCTTTTTATTATTTATTTAATTATTACGTGTTACATTATAATTATTTTTGTTACATATTGTTACCCTTTGTTTTTGGTGATGGGAATGCAATTCATCGGATGGGAAAAATATTTAAAAACGCCAATCCCAATTAAGCACTTTAGAGAGAGATGCATCGTGGCATTTCACTGGCAATACTGGTTTCCTTTCATTTATAGTAGTATAAGCGTCCAGAAACATTCCAAAGGCAATCACTCACCTGTAAAACAAATTTTTGATCGATGTATTTTTTGGCAGCGCTGGGCTGAAATTCCTGACTTTCCAAGAAACGGATGAAGAACTCATAAACAAGCTTAAAAAGAAAAGAAAGAGAGAGAGAGAAAGATCAGAAAACTTGAAAAAATAAACGTTATCTCAACTACATAAGACTAAAACCATGGTGATGTCAGGGATTTTAATGCTTTACCCAAAGCCAAATTTTACAATTTGCTGCTAAGTTCCTATTAAACATTAGAGACGTACCATTTTATAATTTTCCTAAATAAAACTAAACAAGTTACTAATACAATTCAAAAATGTACACTTATTAAATATTTCTCTTTCAGATTGCATTTAATGACTATGTAATTATTTACAGATATTACGTTTTGTGCAATCCCTTTAAAAAAATAAAGAAATTGGTTTCATTTTTATAGTACGTGTATGTATATAATATGTACTTACAGGTCACTAAATGGGCTAAGGTGAGGTTCAGGGGTAGATTAAGAGATAGAACCTATTTATTAGCTAGACTAAGTAACGACTATTGTAACTACAAAGTATATACCTTAAAAAAAATAAAAAATAGCGCGCACAAAATCATTGCATCCCTACATACTTTACTATCAGTAAAAATATAATACTAAGTAAGATAAACGAAATGAAACAATTACGATACAATTGCTGCGAGTTTCTAAATTTTTTTTTTGTTTGTTTATTAATAAGATTGTTGTGGCTTTACTAATCACGTTGAATCAATGAATTAAGTTAAATCCTCTGTTTATTCTCCAACCGCTATAAGGATTTCCTGGGTTTCTGCGGAGTGTGTTTGGTGGTTTCATAAAACTTTTCGTGAGAGTGCCCTCTGGCCTTCGGAGCAGATGTACTACTTATCACATAATACCTCATTCACACTCGTAGCGACTTTGTGCTGCCTGTCCCTCTGGCTGGTGACCTGATGCAAATGCAGGTCTTTGTAGGTTCATAGCACAGAGGATACAACAGCCTCTGAGCGAGCTGAGAGGATCTGAGTGACCTGAGGATCATGTGAGCTCTACTGGTGCTCCTATTGGCTGTCACTCAAGAAAGTCGCTCATAAATTGCATAAAGTTGAAGGATTTTAAGCTGTCGCATCGCTCGACACGCCCACCTGGTCGTCAACAGTTGCTTTCGCTCGCATAAATGGAGGTCGCCGGAAGTTGCTCACTCTTCGTTAAAATGAGCGGTCGCTTGTCACTTTAGTGCAGTGAGTCGCTTGCTGTGTGAATGAGGCTTAAGAGTACCATTCTCACGAGATGTAGAAGACAATCACAGCTTTTGCTAAAATCGCAAATGCAATTTTATGTCAATTTATCGTTCAGCCCTAGTATTTACACAGATTTCATATAGATGCCAGTCATGATTATTTACCTGTAAGTGTGGCCATGAGGCTTCCAGCGTGGGCTCGTCTTCCTCTGGGTCAAACTCGTTACTGTCACTGGGCGGAAGAGTCCGAAAAATATTATAGGACACCTGTGGAAAGAAAAAAAACAAATTATTAAAATGATAGTTTACCAAAAAATGTTATTTGTGAGGATTTACTCCCACTCTACTTGTTTTAAACATTTGTCTCTTCTGATAAACACAAATAAGATATGCAGAAGAATGTTGGGACGTTGATAATAAACTAATTTCTTTCTGTATGAAACGTCAAACAGACACAGTTGCTCCTGAGTCCTGTCAAACCTCCACTAGTTTTTCCTCCATTTCGTGGGTCCAAATAAACTGAAAAAGAGCGCTTTTAACTTCTCCCCCAGCCTCCCGCTGGCCTGCAGCAGGTACATACACGTACACACAAGTGAAAGCTGCTCTCTCATTGGCTGTAGGTGATCGCTGAAGTTATTTTCAGTCAAAACTCAATTCACACTGCATGATTTGAATCGCCGAATACGCCAAATATCTCGTAGGCATCGGCGACTCATCGGCTCATCGACTCATCTCTCAGATTGCGTCTTTGAAAGTTCATACTGTGTGATTGTCACTCACGTGCATGAGCAGCGATTTGCCTGTGATTTCAGGCATTTGTCGGCGATTTCTCAAAATCGGGGTTAAAATCACGCAGTATGAACTCGGCGTTAGGATGTTATTATTTATGCGGTGATTTGACCAACTGATTTGTATATACTTTTGTACTATGTATATACGTATTTATGCATGTATACTACTTTCCCCTTTTTTATTTTGTTATGTTATGTTATATGTATGTTATGTTTTTTGGATGTTGTGAAAGTCATGTTTTGTTTTCTGGTGTTATGATGTGATTGTGATTAATTGTGGGGCCCCCTTGAAAATAAGATGGGTACATCTCAAATGGTTAATCCCAATGAATAACTATAAAAAATATCTTCCTTTGTGTTCAAAAGATTAAGTTGGAGTAAAGGAAATTTTCATTTATGAGTGAACTCTCCCTTTTTAATAGGGACATACACTAGACGATCACAGAAAAAACAACCTTCTAACCTCATGTTGCACTGCTTTATCAATAAATCTCACCATTTTGACCACCTCAGGGTAGGTCTGCTCGGTCAGGTAACCGCGGCTGAGTGTGACGTAGTCCACCAGCTCATTAAGGGTGGAACGTTTATACTCTTTCATTTTGAGGTCAGACAGAGTATCCATGAAGTCAAACAGAGTACAGCACTGCTGCAGCTTCTTGAGGAACAGCTCCGGTTGCTCCTGCGCAGAAACATCTAGACAGAAACAAAGAAAGGGTTAATGCCAAACAGCACTAAAATTCCACAAATGTTTTACATCAATTTCCTTGACTTTCCTAATATAATCTGTCTCACGTTTCTGGACTGTTGGAAGCCTGAAATACTTCACATATTAGCTTGGAGGTCCATCTGGCATTTGACCTCTTAATATTACAACTGACAGGGCTTGAGTTTGAAAAGCCATTCAAGACATAGTAATACATGTGCCACAACCAGCCAATTTACAGAGGTGTGTTCATGTAGTCTGCATGTTTACTCAAGGTTCTGCAGGTTTTACCAAGTTAAATTTAAGACATTTAAGAACATTAAGGCCATCATGAATGAAATTTTAGACTTATACAGAGTTAAACGCTAAGGAAGTTTTCAAATGGCTCAGATAGAAAAGATTTTATTTACCCTATAAAAACATTATCATTTAATACATTTAAAAATACAATAATAATTTTACAATAAAATACAATAAAAACATCACATATTTTACATATTTCTTAGCAAATTTTTTTCAATACCGTGTAAAAAGAAGCAAGCTCTGATTGTATGCATACACTTTTTCATAAAATTTTAAAGAAAGTTTTAAAAACTAAAGTATAAACTAAATCTGTGCACATCAATTTGTCCAGGGTGCGTTTCCGAAAACCATCATTAGCCAACTAAGGTCGCAAGTTCCGTCTTTACAAACATGGTACAATCGCAAACTTGTACTGTACATTTGCAACTACACCTCTGGAGCTGTAGTTAGAAACATAGTTCCTGGCTGTGTTCTATTCCCAGTTATTCCCCCTATGCCCTATTCAATAACAACGTTCCAACATTTAAACTTGGAATGATAAAAAAAAAAAAAAAAGCATTAAATGTGATGACCACTATTAGGTGTAATTTGCTTTCAAATATTTTTTGATAAATTATTATTATTATTATTATTATTATTACTATTGTTAGTTTTTTTATTTATTTATTTATTTAATTATTTATTTATTTATATTTTTTATTATTATTATTATTACTATTAAGCAGGTTACTAATAAGTAGGAAATGCACCCCAGGTCAATGTCCTCAGCAGTAAATACATGTCGCACTTTTAAACAAATGTTTTTGTAAGGAAAATAATTAAACCATTATGGTATATAGAGTTAAAAATTACATTCCTAAATAAAAAAAAATTAACATTTTATTGAGATGGATTGTAGGTTATTGTACTGCTGAGGACACTGACCTGGATGCTTTACCCAAACAACGACATAACTCGCGACTGAACAATCATAGTACGATGCATCGTTTGAGAAATGATCGATGTAATGACAATTGTATCCCAAAACTGCAGTCTTTCTGTTGCAGATCCATCATTTGAACCATGTTAGTTATAACATAAAACATCCAATTGGCCAGATTGGGTATCTATACATGAACAACAACACAATATTTCAATAAATTTAAAACTTTGCCTAAAATTTAGATTTTGAGATTTAAGACTTAAGACCCCGTGGACACCCTGTTTATGACAGCATTAACCAAACAGAAAGTGCACCCTTTAAGCAAAAACACCACAGTTAACAAATAAAAATGTCATGTTGAAAATGATCATTTATTTGCATACTTTATGGTGGTCAAACATTAGACTAACAAGAGAAAAATGTATTGAATTGCAAAATTCAGTCATAAAAATGCTATTTATTGTATAATGCAGAATATCACAGAAAACCTCATTTTGGGTCAATAAATAAATAAAAAAATACAGGTTAGCGTAGCTTCATTTGCTATACACATTTATTAACAAACCGGCTTTTCTCAACATGCCATCTAACAACACAAAGACATAAATGAACATCTTCTGAAAATCTGTTAACTGAATACAAAAAAGCCTATATATTATGGCACAACAGAATGAACAGAATGTTCATAATAATTATGATTTAATTATAAATATATTCATAAATTCATAAATGTAATTATTTAATAATAAGCTTTTTCCCCCTCACAATTTTAGAAAGAAATTAAGGATTAAAAAAAATCCTATCGATAATATTTTATTATGGATTAATACAATTGTAAAATTGTAATCGTTTATGCACATTTTTTATTCTATTGATTTAATTATTTTAATTTATTGGACAAAAGTTTTTTACTGCTGAAGTTTATTTAAAACCCTTAAAACAGAACAGTAGAAATTAACATGCAAATATAAAACATTTTATATTTCTATACTGACACAATTATGGATAACGTGACAAGCTACATTTCTTAAATTACTTACATTCATCACAAAATAATCCCAGCAATAAAAATATTGAAAATGTCACATCTTTTTTTTTTTTTTTTACTATATATCCATACTATTCTTTTGAAATGTACATCATTTTTTAATAACAATAAGGCTACCTAATCTCACCTTGAAAATAAATATTTTCTTTCTCTCAAAGTCTCACAAAGACAGGTTTTTCTGCATTCAGCGTGTTGCCTTGTTATTATAGCATAGCAATCCTTATCAACTCTATCTGACCAACTAAAAAAACTCAAAGCGCTGTGACATCAGCAGTCGTTATCTTCATCTGACCAAGTAAACCGAGCTTACCTTTCAGCAGAGGCAGCGCCACCAGCTCTATGGGCTTGTCCTGAGATCTGAACTGGGATGAGCTCTGCGCTCGCTTCTGCCGGGCTTTCCTGACAGACTTCCTGGAGAAGCCGTCCACCTTGTCCACCGACGGGGCTGTGGTGGCTGCTGAAGACATAGCCCTGTGCCAGAACGGAAAACAGACCGTCATTGATAAAAGAAGAATATCTTGTGCAAAAACGAGAAACTTATGGTAACCTCCCTTCATTTTTAATTTAACTGGACAAAACCCAATGAGTGGCAAAAAGACGGCATGAAAAAAGTATTTAATGCAGCCCACTGAACGCACTGACTTCACACATTTCCACTTCATATTCAATTAAATATGACACCTATCCTGATGAAAGACTACTCGACTCCCATTAGTATGTAAAAAGAGAAGTATGTCCACATTAACACAATATATGTCTACCAGTACTAGAGCTCGACTTGATTAAAATAAATGAAGTAAACACACACCATCTACAATCTATGATTAGTTATTGAACATCAATGCTGAACAACTGAAATTAAAACACAAATTGCCTAAAATGCGACTCTCTGCACCTGCCACTGTCGTCACCGATATCAAACCGACCAATTACAAAGCTTGTGCTACACGTCGTTGTGACATGTAAGCACATTTTTTTGAGAGGTGTGAAGGAACGCAAAGGCTGCGCCGGACTGTACTCGTGCCCTTGGCAGAAGTATAATATCATAATAACGTAGTAAGTATAAATCATAATATAGCAAGTATAATTCAGCCTTAGAGAGGAGTCACGTGACTCCTCACACGGTAGGGAAAGTATCTGAAAAAAAATTTACATGAAAAAGTTTGATCAATTATAGGCTTTGAATGTCGATTTCGATGAATCACAAAGCCCTAACCAGTACTTTATATTCCACATCCACTAAACACTTTGCCATCTAACAACTAAAAAAGCTGGCCAAATGACAACAACAACCTGACACATGTCATGTAGTACATCCAGATTACATTCATACGACACATACAGCACTGAGGAATCCGGTAAATAACTGGAGGCAAATGCAGATCTACACAGAAACCAAATGATAAAGATGCTCTGAATACAACAAAACAATGTGCAGTTTCAAGTCATGGAAAAACACAGACATGCGTTGCCTTCCTTCTAGCCTTAATATCCAGATAGCATCATCGAGCACGTTAACATGCACATAATAAGTGAAGAACTATCAAAAATCTGATTATTTCAGAAACTGGTTCATGTTTACATGCAAATTAGTAAATCAGCTATGTAGAAAACGGGCGAGATTGCAAAATTTGATGGATCGTTCACAGGCAGTGAGAGTTCAAATATTAGAGTGTGCAGCTTGAAAATGTCAGCGGTAAATCTGTCAGAAGATGTGCTGTTGTTTTACTACTTTACGGTACTTGCAAATGCACTCCACAATAAAAATAATAATACTTTGTTTTAATGATTCTGCATTTGTGCTTTATGAAGTCATGAAACCATTGTGTATGAAATATTACTGCTTTCTCTAAATTGACAATATTCTGCAATGTGAAAATAAGCTCTTTTCTGTGATTAAGAACTAGAAATAATTGACAGAAACTGGTCAAATTAGTTGCTCTACAAACACGTGTCATTATTATGGCTGCACAATATATTGTTTCAGCTTCGATATCACATTGTGATCATTCGCAATAGTCACATCGCGAATAGACGCAATGTCGAGTCTGGATTATAATTTACCATTTTGCAAGTGTTTTTGAGGCCTGTGACTGTGTGCGGGGTTTAAAAACATTCAGGCATAAGTAACTGTAAAAGTTTGTAAATTTGACAAATTAACGATAACTTTGGACTGAGGGATTTTTTTACATTTAATTATTCAATTATATACCTGAATACAGATCGACTCCTCTGAAAACAATAAAGCACGGTTTATTTATTTGGTATCTTTTTTTTTATTGAATTGATCTACACTTGTAGATAGTTTTTTACATTTCATGAATATGCACTCCCCTATACAAAATCATCCCAACCAATCTAAAATTAGAAATTCTTTCCAGAATCTAAATAGTTATTCAACAAATCTAGTGAAATTGTATTCCTAATCACAATATAAATTGCAGAATAAAAAACAAATTGCAATGAGATTTTTCTAATATCGTGAAGCCCTTGTGCTTATGACAATACATAAATACAGCATAATTACAAAATACCAGTTTGCAAAATTAAGTAACACACTGTATTTTTATGGCTAAAAATCTATGGAAGTGGATGTAGACTGGAAGTGTTCAGCCAATAATGTTCGAATGGCTGCGCCCACTTATGTGAAGAATTAGGCCAATAGAAGCTCATGCTCAATGCATGTCTTCAGTAAGAATGGTGGGTAAAAATGTGCACATGAATTAACTGCTTGAATTCCGATAAAGGAGTTTGCATGCAATGCAAAATCTGGGAACTGATGCATTTTTAGCTAGAATGATAGTAAGATTATATTGTATTTGACAGTAATATCAAACCACAAGTGTACGTGTAATTTTTTTTATCTGATCACTATATCTTTGTTTTTGCAGATCGTATGATATGTAGTGATAAGGGGTGTAACTGTACATGTACGAATCCCGAACCATCATGGTAAAATGTGACACAGTTCAGTTCATGTACTCAAATACAACAGTGAATAGTCAGATCACACGTGCAAGTCACCAGAGATACCCAAAATAGGCCACAGCAGTGCAACAACTATGAGGCCATTTGCAGAGAATGCATCTTTGCATCTGAAAATGTGAAATGCAGAGCTCAGGAATAGTTTTAATTAAGTTCAGTTCTGTACCTGATTGTGACAAAACACTGCCGTAAACAGGAAAACAGCAAGCACTTGTGATTTGTTAGTCATTCCTGTTGTACCAAACCTAAATCAAATCCTTACACCAAAATAAAGGTACGTACTGAACCGTGACTTCTGTGTACCGTTACACCCACTTGTACAGAGAATTCATGCCTTTTTAATCGAAGTAACAGCAGTGTCCAGCTGTGAAAGATGTAGACTGTAAAACATACTAGCAGAGTTTGAAGGGGCATACAGCTATTCTATCCAATTTTGCCCCCTTAAAAAAAGGTTGTGCAAACTATTAGCTAATCATACCAGTTGATGTTTACTTGAGTTCTACTTCGTAGTCCACCATGCCTATTCAAACGGTGTTCTAAATGACCCTCAGAAAATAGTCAAAAATAAACAAAAAAAAAAGCTCTTTGAGAAAAAATGCTTGCACTAAATGTAAGATTGCATGAAATTAAAAAGTTTAATGATGTTTATTTTGCTCACTTCACTTTGGTTCGTCCACTGAAAATAACAACAACAACTTTGTTTTGGTAAATTTAAGATATTTGTTGCTGCTCTGGAAAGGCAGTGCTTCTCTGATAAAGTCAGTTTGATGGCTTGGGCAAAATATACTTGGGCATACCCCTCCAACCAAAAGGTTGTTTTCAATCACGTGGTTCTGATGACGCACGAAATTCAGATGGAGGGCAGAAAGTTAAAAAAAACTAAATGGGAGAAAGCGAGTTATACCATATTTCAAAGGAGAATATGAGATAAAAATCGAAAAATTATCACATATGTTGGGCATGATTCTCATATCATGAAGAGGGTCGAGTTTTCCACTAAACTAAAATATTTTTGCCAGTCATCGTGATACTGTATAATCGATTATGTAACATGACAAATACTATAGTTCTTACTATACTGTTTGGAAGCATACTATAGATAATTACTTTAATTAAACTGTTGTAGTAATTATATTGTTGCTGTGGTACAACACAACTGTAGGAATAAACAAATTATCCAATAGGCTTCAGTTTTCTTCGCTGTAATTATACACCATTACACTTCACCGAAGTTTACTCTAACGTTATTCATTAAAGTTTAACATACTATAGTATTCTGTAGCATTCATTAACAAGGAGTTGTACACATTATACACTTTGCTATGTGGTTCAAAAACAAGTTTATTATAAATTACTACAACATTAGTTTTTTCCCTATGCGGTTATCTTCCAGGGATCAGAAAAAAACAGATGAAAGCATACAAAAGCATGGACGCACAGTCTACAATATATTATTTTAATTATTATTTATTTTATTTTATTTTTGCAAGGAGGAATGAGCTTAATGAATCTACCATCAACAAACGTTCATTGCTGCTGTGCATCTCGATGTTCACGTTAAAGTTGTTTATTCTGCTGAAACGCCAGTAAAGACGTTGAATATTCCAAAACAAGACAGAGATTTCATTGCAGCGACTACAAGCAGTGTATGTTATTGATATTCTCCTGGATTCCTGATTTTTACATAACACATAATCATATTTATACACATGGCTAGGCCTGCATATAATCTTTATTAGTGCTGTCAAAGGAATTAACACGTTCAAAACAAGTTTGTACACAAAGATGTATTGAAAAAAATGTTTATTACATGCCGCCTTTTCTTAAGTTTTTTTAGCCACTTTCTTGATCTTTCTCCCCTTTATGAACAAAAACTTTTGGAAGTCCATAAAAGCTGTTTGGCCTTTTTTTGGCAGATTTAAGCTATTATAAACAACATAAAACAGAAACATTTTGATGTTCTTATAGTGATTCCTACGTAGAAAAACCACTTCCTGCCTTCCATCTGAATTTTGCGCATTATCGATGATGTCATGTGAAAACAACCTATAGTTTGCAGCAAAAAAGAAAAGAATAAGGACACAGAAATAAAACCTCACTCCCTACTAAACATTTAGGGCCCTATCATACACCCGGCGCAGTGTGGCGCAAGGCGCGGCGCAATAATCTTTTGGTAGTTTCAGCTTGGCGCAAAAGTCGTTTTGAGCCATTGCGCTACGCTGTTTAAATAGCAAATGCATTAGCGCTCATATGTGCGTCCATAGGCGTTCTGGTCTAAAAAGGAAGGCGTTCTGAGGCGGACCGCTGTCGCGTTGCTATTTTGAGAAACTATAATAGATTTTTCATTAGACCAAAACTAACCCGGTCTAAACTCTGGCGCAGAGTTGCGCCTCGCTTACGCACTGCTTAATACCCACAAGAGAGCAATAGGCAAATATCTTTACATATGAAAAAAATTAAATACTATGTGTGTGTATATATATATA